GAATCAGGTTGCTGCTGAGAAGTTGTCATCCACCTCTGCTTCATTATGTGTTTGGGCAATATTTTTCATGCCCAAGTTGATAGCCGCCTTGTGGAGCTTGGGACCTGACCTGCTAGCAGAGGAGCCTGTCCAAAATAAAACAAATCTTGCCACGTTAGCAGCAATATGGGATGGGAGAGCTTCAGTGCCATTAAAGATGAAATTGTTACGACAGTTCCATATGCACCAACAGAGACACGGGAGCAAAACCTTCCAGATAATAGCAAGATCTTGACTGCAAGATGAACTGAAGTTGGGGGATATCATATCCTCCAAATTATGTGGCCATGCTGTTGATGGGACTTGGGGAAGGAGAGAAGACCTTACAAGTGATGAGAAACCACATTTCACAAACAGGTGGTCATGGGATTCGTTTGCATCATTACAGAGAGGGCAAATTGGATTTCCAGGCCATCCTTTGAGCACCAGGTTATCCCTAGTGTTCAGTTTGTATTTACTAGCAATCCAAAAGAATATTTTTACCTCTAGAGGTATGGGAGAAGCCCATATGAATCTGCAGTGTCGGGAGATGACTCCTCCTGTGGTGATGAGGATATAGAAGGATTTAACAGTATATGTACCTGATGGATGATAGGGCCAGAGGAGCTTGTCATGGTTGTAGTGGCCAGAGATGGAGAATTGAGAGAGATGGTTAAGGAGAGCGGAGATTTCGTTCCTTACTTCCTGTGAAATGCCTCTTCTTTTAAGAAGCATAGATCCTTGTGAGAGAATATTGCAGGTCTTGGAGAAAGCAAGGTGATGAGCTCTTGGGAATAGGCTACTGAGGGAATTGGCACCAGACCATTTGTCTTCCCAGAACCTACATGTTTTACCAGCCCCAATTCTCCACCGAACGTGGCTGAAGAAGGGAAGGCAGATAGACTGCAGATCTTGGATGAATCTGGAGGCTGAGCCCTTAAGAGGATGAACCAGTGGATTTGCTTTGTCTTTAGAGTACAAGGAGAAGATTACTTTGCTAACAGGGGAGTTATCATCCATAATCTTCCAGATCCATTTGGAAAGGAGTGCTAAGTTAAAGGAGGAAATATCTTTAACCCCAAGACCTCCTTCTTTCTTGGTTTTACAAACTGTTTTCCAATTGATAAGGCACTTAATCTTTGAAGATTGATTCTGTCCACTCCAAAGGAAATTCCTTCTCAATCTGTCTATAGCTTTAGTGAGCCAGACAGGCAATTTGAAAAAAAGACATGTAATATAATGGAAGAGAGGAGAGTACTGAGTTGAGCAAAGTAAGTCTCCCACCTAAAGAAAGCGATTTATTCTTCCATAATGCCAGTTTTTTGGAGAATGAGTCCAAAATAGGTTGCCATTCTCTTCTCGAAAGAGAGCCTTTCTTCAGAGGAAGGCCGAGGTAGGAAAAAGGAAGAGATCCCACTGAGCAGTTAAAAATGCTAGCCAGACGCGCTCCCTTATGAGGAATATTACCTAAGTAGAAGAGGCTCGTTTTGGAGTGGTTAACTTTGAGACCTGAAATGTTGGCAAAGATCAAAAGAACTACCTTGAGGGTAGCTATGTCTGATTGAGATGCTTTTGAGAAAATGATGGTGTCGTCAGTAAATTGCAACAGTCTGATATGATTTAAGTCTCCTTTAAGGTTGAGACTAGAGAAATCTCCCGATTCTGCACTTTTCTTAATCATTTTGCTAAGGACATCCACGACCAACAGAAAAAGCATAGGTGAAAGAGGGTCACCCTGCTTAAGACCACGATGGCACTAAAAGAATTTGGTTGGAGAGCCGTTGACCAAAACTGCTGATTTGGAAGAGGAAAGGATATTTTGAATCCATGAACACCACAGAGCACTGAAACCTCTAGCTCTGAGGAGATTCAATAAAAAGTTCCAGTTAACACAGTCAAAGGCTTTTAAAAAATCAATTTTGATGGCACATATCTCCTTTTTACCGGATGAATAGAAATTTATCATCTCGTGAGCCAAGAGAATGGAATCCAGTGTTGATTTCCCACTTTGAAATGCAGCCTGAGACTTATCAACAAGGGAAGGGATGAAAATTTTGAGCCTGTTAGCCAAAACTTTTGTGAAGATCTTACAAGTGCTGTTAAGAATGCTAATAGGCCTGAAGTCAGATGGGGAATTTGCACCCTCTTTCTTGGGGATGAGACAGACGTATGAAAAGTTAATGTTGTGGAGAAGTGAAGGGTGGAAATAGAGGGATTGAATGAAGGAGATAATATCAAGATGAATTGAGGACCAGAACTTTTGATAGAACAGGAGGGGAAGACCGTCTGGACCTGGGGATTTCTCAGGATGCAGGTCAAAAACAGCGGTTTTGATTTCTAGAGGGGAAAAGGGGGTGTCCAGAGATGAGAGATCTAGGCTGGTATCAGGGTATAGGGAGCTCCAATTGATGGACAGTCTAGGATCTGGATGTTTGCGGAAGAGATCAGAAAAATAGTCAAAGAAAGCTGACTTCATGTCAATATCAGAAGAAATAATAGTGTTATTGATGAGGAGATGTGGAATAAAATTTTTCCTCCTATGATATGATGCAGTTCTATGAAAGAAAGCTGTGTTATTATCTCCCTCTTTCAACCATTGAATTCTAGATCTCTGCCTCCACTTGGTTTCTTCTGCCTTAGCAAGATGATGAATATCCTCCTTAACTTTGAGTCTAAGAAGAGATTCTTGGTTGGAAAGAACTCTGGACTCCTCTATAGAATTGATGTAGTTTAGGGTGGTCATGGCTTTAGAGAGAGCTTGATTGAGAGAGCCAAGAGAAGATTTTTTCCACCATTTTATTCTTTTCTTTATGAATTTCAGCTTAAGAGGCAGGGCCGCAGGGGGATCTGCTGTTCATTATTAGAGGAGAATGATTTCCAACAAGATTGGATGAAAGGAATAAAGGAGGGGAAGGATAGCCAAAACTTTTCGAACCTGAAAGGAGGAGGTTGAAAGGATGAGGTGGTGTCCAAAATGATGGGACAGTGATCAGAGCATGGAGGCTGAAAACCGTATTGAGTAAGGAGGGGGAAGTGAGCTTCGAAGTCTAAAGAGACAAAGAACCTATCAAGCCTTGCTTGAACAGGGACATGTTTCGTATTTGTTTAATATCCACTGGGCTTTAAGCTTAATCAACCTTTGGACCAAGTTAGTGTTAAGGTTTAGCACTATATGATATGATATGATGATCGTGTTAATACGAGGTTGAGGGATTGAGAGAGTTAGAGTGATCGATTTCTCTTGTAATCTTCTCCCTCATACATAATGAGTTTTTCGTAGCGTGTCCTATGGATATAAGTCGAACTTAATCGAATCACGTAAATCTCAGTATCCTTACTTCGTCTTAATTGCTATTCTTTCTATCTCGTGAGCATATGTTTTTGATCTCCCGGTTGTGGGCATTGGAATCGGGGGAAAGATTATCCCTATAGCTAGCACTAAAAATGCATGTGTCATAGTTTTAACATTGTAACTAAACAAAGGTCCTAAATATAAACCCAAGAAATTAACCAACTTTTACTCCGGTCTATCACTGGAGTTCCCTCATGAAAAAGATACTATCGTTTTGTTTTCCTTTTTTTTATTTTTTTATTTTTCCTAATCGAGACAATCACCTAGCAATATTGTTTTTATAGATTGCGATATATAACCTAAAGTATCATCATTACTCTAGCAACAACGACTAACTCACCCCCCAAAAAAAAACTAGAATGAGCAGATATTAATTGACTTGATAACGAAGCTTCATTGAAAAGGACATGCATGCTCACGAGAATTGGAATCCTTTTGAGCCGGCGTAAAGTACTGACATTTTAAAGGGGGAAAAAATAAAGGGGGGAAAAGAAAGAGAAATCCAGGATTTGAAAATAAGAGGGAAAAGCAAAGAAACAGATATCAACCGAACTGAGTCATTTTGAATGTTGTTTTCGCACTTAAAAATTATTTCTAAAGATATGTGAGGGTTTCTTTTTGTTATGCGAAATTATTTCTCTTAAGATTATGTTAGAGTTTCTTTTTGAAAAGTTACAATATAAGGTCAAGCAAATAATTAAGGGGCCAGTTGCAATCTAGGCTCTGTTTGGCAATTCCAATTTAAACTAGTAGTTTGGCGGAACAAAATCAGTTCAAATCTAGGCCCCAGTTTAATTGGACAAAAACTGAACTGGGACCTAAATTAGTTTTATTAGGACAATTTTTTTTAGCTTTAAGCTAGTTCTAGACTTGATCCACTCGGTTCATAACTGAACTAGCTAGCTTAGACCTATGAAGCACGGACACGCATAACATAAAGCCGTGTCGTGTCGTGTCCGTGTCAGACACACGTGTCGAACACACGTATCTTATGTATTTTTTAGGATTTGCCTCGTGTCGGCGTGTTGGATGGTCGTGTCGGATCCGTGTACGTGCTACATAGGCTTAGACTATTGAGAGAGTTGAGAAACCGACCCTCGTATATTTATGAACCTAACTTCAGGCTGCAAGACTTTATCCCAGCTACAATATCTTCTGGTACACATTTTCACTATTGGGCCCTTTAGTGCAAAAGTTTCTAGTTGAAATGCGCTAGATTTCTCATCTACTACCCTTAAACAAGCAATGATCTCCTAATTTACTGCCCCTGCAAGCTCTAGAGGGTGCTAAATCCCCTCGTTTCCCTCTTAAAGTAGTCCGCATGCTCATTTCATGTGAGGGTTGGTGCTCAAAAGTCTAAGCCATTTCCTTTATATGAATGAATTTAGTGGCCACTTAATTTTATTGGTGAGATTGTAATTAAGAAGCTTCACATTAGCAACGAGTACGCTCACAAACTTGTGCTGACCATAAGTCTACCTAACCAAGTCAAGGTCAGTCAAAAGTTGTAGCTTGTCCAGTTTGCGCTATAAATAGTTCTCTTGCGAATTCGTGATATATATTAGAATACAAGGGTTAAATTCTTTCTCTTGTGGTTTTTTTTTTAATATTTTTACAGCAGTGAATAGTGATGGGGCCTTTCTCATGGAGATGGATTGCGGTAGTTCTTACTAGTGTTCTTTCTCTTCCTTTCATCTCCTACTCAGAGCAAGGTGCTTCTTATTTCTCGTTTTTTACAACTAATTTAAGCAAGAAATAAATACTCTAGCTCGCGCATAATCTATATAATTTTCCTATGAAATCATTCATGGTACTATATTTCTAAAGAAACCAAGGCTCCAACTGCAGTAATTGCTTATATATTAAATCATACATTTAAGAAAAGAACCATCATGAACCAGCCATAATTGTTAGTTTCTTGCTTCAATATATATATTTTTTATATGCCATAAAAATATTACAAACTATAACAATTGCCCGCAAATGGAGAAGAACATGGGGAAAAAAGAAATCATATAGCCATATTGGGAGCTTTCTATTGGAAGTCACATACAATGAAACAGAACATAATTCATGTTTTAGTGTATTTATACTTTAAGAATTGATGATTGCACTAGAACAATATTTTAATTAAATTGATATCTATATAGTACTTGCACTGATTTAGAAATTGTAATGTTTTGATCTTTCCCACTTATATGGTTCCCTACGGGGATTTCTTTTACATGAAGACTAAAGAAATTAAGCATCAAAATTGCAAATCTAGAATTGATCATCATCAATAATCCACCTATTATAAGTTTATAACTTAACCGTTCTACAACTAAACTCAAAAATGTCATTCTTAATTCCCTCCATGCATACATAGCGCCAAACTACTCCTTTCTCCACGACGCCACCCGATCCCCCTCCGTCTCCTACTACGACTACATCGTCATCGGCGGGGCGGCGGAACCGCCGGCTGCCCTCTCGCCGCCACCCTTTCGGAGCACTCCACCGTCCTCCTCCTCGAGCGGGGTGGGTCCCCCTACGGCAACGGGAACATAACAAACCTTGCCTCCTTCGCCTCCACCCTCGCCGACTCCTCCCCTTCCTCCCCCTCGCAACGCTTTGTCTCCACTGACGGTGTCATCAATGCTCGAGCTCGCGTTCTTGGCGGCGGTAGCTGCATCAATGCAGGTACGTACATGGCTAGCTAAAACTAAATGGAATCAAATCCAACACAGAGATATATGTTCGTATTTGTATTTGTTAAAAAAATCTTCAGCTTCGAATCCGAATATCTCCTCTGAAGTTTTCTCAAATGCGAGTATCTTTCGAATATTCATGTATATCAAAGTATATTTATATTGGATTAATAATTTATTCTTCATAAATATTAGAAATACTATAATTAATTTGTTCCTAATTTATTGAGAAGGCATGGATTTTATTTGATTAAAGATGCTTTTATCTTTTAGGTGCTAATTTTTAAATGTCGACGTTGAAATTCATATTCCGTTATGATATCTGTAATTTGAATGTTGGGGTGGAAAACAAAATGTGCGCCTTTTTTAAGCCTTTCAATATAATATATATGAGGGGTCAAAAATATATATGACATCTGTATATGTGTAGTCGTACACATTACGAGGGACCAAATTCTAACCAAGAAAATTTCTAAACAAACTCATTCACAAATTTTTTTTTAAATCGGTCCCCTTGAGTTTTTTTTTTATAAAAAAATATCTATTTTTTTAATCCGGTTCCTAAATAGTCGGGGTTATCAACTCTGACTATTTAGTGCATAGAATGTTAGGGTTTAGGGTTGTAATTTGGGTTTTACAACCTCCTAAATAGTCGGGGTTGACAACGCCGACTATTTAGAAACCGGATTAAAAAAAATTGACTCACTTTCTCGCCACGATGCTGACGTGACGAGAAAGTGGGTCGATTTTTGTAAAAAAAAACTCAAATGGGTCGATTTTTAAAATAAAAAATATGAATGAGTTTATTTAAAAAATTTCTTCAATTTTAAACAAATAGTTAACAATCAAAGGAATTGAATATACATCTCATCGGTTCTAATTGATTATGAAATTTAATTATTTTAGATGAACTATCAAATTGATCAATACAGCTAGCTGACTATATAGGAACCGGATTAAAAAAATTGACTCACTTTCTCGCCACGATGCTGTCATGACGAGAAAGTGAGTTGATTTTTGTAAAAAAAACTCAAAGGGGTCGATTTTTAAAATAAAAAATGTGAATGAGTTTATTTAAAAAATTTCTTCAATTCTAAACAAATAGTTAACAATCAAAGGAATTGAATATACATCTCATCGGTTCTAATTGATTATGAAATTTAATTATTTTAGATGAACTATCAAATTGATCAATACAGCTAGCTGAATAATTACGCACGCAGGCTTCTACACAAGAGCGAGCCGAAGCTACATTCAAAATGCCGGATGGGATGGGATTTTGGCCGGAGAAGCATACCGTTGGGTGGAGAGGGTGGTGGCGTTCAGGCCGGAGATGAGGAGGTGGCAGTCGGCGGTGAGGGACGGGCTGTTGGAGTCGGGGGTCAGGCCGTACAACGGGTTCACGTACGAGCATTTGTATGGGACGAAGGTCGGGGGCACGATTTTCGATGCGGAGGGGCGGCGTCATACGGCGGCGGATCTGTTGCAGTACGCGAGGCCGCAGGCGATTACTGTGCTCCTGCACGCCACTGTGTCGAGGATTTTGTTCAGGCAAGAAGGTGGCTCTCTCGTACCCTACATATCAAATAATTTTTCAAAACGATAAATGTGAAATTAACTTTTTTATGGACTTATATTCTTGAAAGCGCAAAGATATATGGGAAGAATTTTTTTTTTTAGTCTTATTAACTTTTTGTTAAGAAATTTGTGTTTTTGCCTTAGCTTGTTACGTATTAACTTTCTGTCACGGAGACCTCCTAGTACACTGGTTAGAAAAAGTAATAATATTATAGTTTATGTGGCAAATAGATCTAGGGGTAGACCTAAAAAAAACTTGATTGGAAGCGGTTAAAAATGATGCAATAATGATTACCAAAAGTGTAGATGATCGATCCATAATAGAATAGAATGGAAAAGTATGATTCATGCAGCCAATCCTAAGCATCTACTGTCGTTGCTGTAATAAGTATTATCTAAAAGGGAACAACATATTTCTATTATTTGAGATTGATACAGAATGCCTATCGGTGCAGGCCACAATTTCAATATAGTAATGTTATGCGCATTAAGGATTATTTATGTATGTCATGCTACATCTAATCTGACCCAAACCCGTTGCAGGCACAACAAAACCAAGTGCCTACGGCCTGCTCTTCACCGACAGCTTCGGCACAGTCCACAGAGCATACCTCAACCCAGGACCCAACAACGAGATCATACTCTCCGCAGGCGCAATGGGCAGCCCCCACCTCCTAATGCTGAGCGGCATCGGCCCAGCCGCGCACCTAAGCTCCCTCGGCATCGACGTCGTCGTCGACCAGCCGATGGTTGGTAGAGGAATGTCCGATAACCCCATGAACGCCATATTTGTTCCGTCGCCGTCGCCTGTCGAGGTTTCTCTTATACAGGTTGTAGGAATTACGAGGCTGGGGGCGTATATTGAGGCTGCCAGTGTGACTGCGCAGGGGAGGAATCTTGGAATGTTTTCTCCGCAGGTTCGTTTATAATGCTATCATTTATTCTCATTTGTGTATTTTTAGTGGTTTATGTTGTCACGAGAAATTTTCTATTGATCCTGTTTTGCACTGATTTAAGGATTATTACATGTTAGAACACTATGTGTCTCATGAATGTACTGCGCTGAATACTTATTTCTATATGATTTTGTTCTCATTAGGAGTAACTTCTAATCTCTGCAAACGCATTCATTTCTTACATAAATCTTTAGTGTACATTCACATCTTATTCTACACTCTTATTTTTATTAAGTTTATTTTCTGTACATGCTATTTTTTTTACTTGTCCTACATTCCGACTCATAAATACCTAAATTTTAGATGGAGTTGTTTGAGAGTAGCAATGAATTTTTGCTGACTCTTTCACCGAAGAAAATAGAATAAAACAATGATATAGTAGCATGCATGCTCGCCTTGCGGCGGTAAAAGCATCATATACAATCGAATATAAACTCCAAAACTCCAATTAAAGATAACGAGATACTATTCACAAAATGATCATTAATGTATGCATGCATATCCGATCGCAGGTTTATTTTCTTTTGTTGCCTGAAAATTGAGATGATCAAATTGTTTGCAACTTTCTGTCGCAGACTGGGCAACTGTACTCGCTGCCTCCGAAAGAAAGAACACCCGAAGCCATCGCAAAAGCCACAGAAATCATGAACAACCTCGCAGAATCCTCGTTCAGAGGCGGCTTCATCCTCGAAAAAATCCTCGGCCCCCTCTCCACCGGCTACCTTGAGCTCAGAAACACCGACCCGCACGAAACCCCCTCGGTCACCTTCAACTACTTCAAAGAACCCCAGGACCTCCGAAGATGCGTCGACGGGCTCAAAACCATCGAAGGCGTGGTAAATTCCCGCGCCTTCTCAAGGTTTCGGTACCCGTTCGTGTCACTGCAAGCTCTGATCAACATGACGATGCATTTCCCGGTGAACTTCCGTCCGAGGCACGACAACGATTCGATGTCTTTGGAGCAGTATTGCAGGGACACCGTGATGACTATTTGGCATTACCATGGAGGTTGTCATGTTGGTGGGGTTGTTGATGCTGATTACAGAGTCGTCGGTGTTGACGGGCTTAGAGTTGTTGATGGCTCTACTTTCAATTTTACTCCCGGGACCAATCCTCAAGCCACGGTCATGATGCTCGGAAGGTAATCTATAACTTTGGTTCTCACGTTCCATTTATTTTCAATGAGAATCAACCAAAAGCTCATAAGTGAAGTTATTTTGCTTTCCCCCCCGCCTCCCCCCCCAGGGTACATGAGATTAAGATTCCAAAGGAGAGGTCGAGGAGAAATGAGGCAAGAGCATAAAGGATGATGAGTTCACGTCGAAGCTTTTTCGGTTTAGCGGTCTTTAAACAAACGTCAAGCGTACCTACGACGATTCTTTAGGGTGTTCATTTCAGAAAATGATGAAAATGAAAAAGAAACCCAAGTCGGTTTAATTCCAAGCCTAGTTACGTAGATGGAAGATTGTGGAAATGTGGCATCTGTTTCCAGGTCTAGTAGATGATTTAACAACATGATGCGAGACCAAGTATACAGTACTTCAAATTCTGCTGTCAATAATCATAAGGGCGCTAATTGATTAATACATAAAACCACACTTTGTGAATAAATAAAAACCGACAAAACACAGAGAGCCTACTATACCAGCTAACATGTACGTGGTGTTCATAGTTTATATACACTTCCGATGACTATAAATGCTTGCCGTTCAAATTTTCCAGCAGAAATTCCTAAGAGGGACAGGCTACTCAAACTGCAACTTATTCGATTACATGAATCAACAAATCAATGAATAGCATTCTGCTATACGCACCCAGAAGAAAAGGAACGCAATATTACTAACTGAAAAATAATTAGAAAAGAGAATTGAAGGTGAGGATGGTGGCGGCAATGGAGGCTACACAAATGACTAGAGAAGGAAGTAGGGTGACATTTAGGAGCTTGCTCACTCCCAAATACCCAGCTAAGGTAATTGTACAGTCTGCAACTACACGAGCCAGTGTTCCGGCCTCAGTTGAGAGGAGGCCACCATTAAAAGTTCCACGTGCTAGCCGAGATGACATAACTTCCGATAAAAGTGATAGATTAACACCTGCGTTGGCAAAACAACTCTTATAAGAATTAGGGGGCCTAATAGCAATTTCAATGATTTAATGGACTAATTCTTAGTCACCTTATAGGAATTGGAGGGCATAATAGCAATTTCAATAATTTGAGGGGTTAGTTTCTTAAAATTAAAGATTTAAGGGACTAATATAAAAAACAACCCAAATATATAAGCATTTTCTACTAAATTAATGCTTAGTTGCATATTTCCTTAAGAAACATTATATATCTTGCTGTTAATTGAAGAAATAGGTTGCATATTTCCTAAAGAAATATTTTATCTTGCCATTCAATTAAAGAAATAAAATAAAGAAAGTAGCAGAAGTGAACCGATGTTCACGTGATTTTGTGCAAATCCCTCCAAAAGCTCACAGTAATTTTTGCGATATTTACCCCAAAATGTCATCTTTGATTCTCTATTACAATTTAATATTATCAGTTTATATGTGAATTGCATTAGGTGACAGTAAACCTCAACTTTATCAAGGTAATTGATGTCTAAAGAAATGTTTTTAGAAGCTGCACAAAGTTTCCAGACAAGTAAATGCAGCAACAGAAAACAGCCCTCGAGAAAAGAGGAACCTAAATGTGCATATCAGTTTAACAGTTGTTCACTTTTCGACATGAAATTACCTTCAAGCACTTCAGCGGCTACAAACGTAATAAGTGCTGAGGTCACATACTGAGGCACCGTATATGTCTTTGTAATGTGGAAGCTCGAAAGTATACCTAATAACACCATAATTTCAGATGCTAGAAGGATTTGTCTGCAAAATATCAACATATAGGTTAAAAACATGCTGAATTTGAAGAAAATTAGTAAAATAGAACTTTCTACAAGAGGATAACAAATCTCAAGAAAGAGTCTGAGAGTCTATAACAACAAATCAAAAGCGATGCATATTTACAACTTGCTGACAGAATGAAAGAAAATCAAAAGGCTGCAATCCAGGCAGAACACAGTTCAGAGTATAAACGCTTCTTACTGATAGTCCATATCCCAAATTGTAAGGTTGTATCTTCAGGAAAAGTTTATGGATATTGGGTTTTCAAACTCATACAGATAATGAAATTGTATCAAAATGCAAATTCATTGCAATTATCTAAGCCTTCTTTGATCAAAAACCAGAGACATCAAGAAAAAGCTTGTCCCATCAAAAGAAGTAAGTAAAATGAAAATGCATCAAGCAATAAACCCATCCATAGAAAGAAGCAGAGTACTATGGTATCAAAAAGATATATGACATATATCAACGAGTACATTTACACTAAAGGGTTGACAATATCTACGGAAAGACGATGAATCTTTAATTCCTTTAATGTTCCAGATATACATTTAATTTAATATGAATTCCTAGTAATCAAGCTAATAAAGCAACTACATTCTAGACATGGGCCTACAGCATGCATGTCAATGAGTACATTTACACTAAAGGTTGACAATATTTACGGAAAGACAAGGACTCTTTGAGTCATTTAATGTTCCAGATATACATATTTAATTTAATACAAATTCCTAGTAATCAAGCTGATAAAGCAACTACATTCTAGATGAAGAATGTGTAATCAAAGTGAAAGAAAAAAAAATCTAATGCAAAATAACTTTTCTTACAAGTAAAGCAATATCAATTTCAAAGTAGCATCTGCTGCTGCAAATATACGCATTTTGTAAAACCTCCTACTGTAATTTCAAATATGAAGTGCTAAGGGCATAAAATTAGTTACGAAACACACACAGTATGTACGTATGAATTATATGCGAAAATATCGATATTGACAAAAAACACATTTCAAGAAGGGAGATAAAGTAGCTTCCATGGATGGTAATGCAGTAGTAACATTTAAGTACAATAAACAGTATTAGGAATAATGAATAATCAGATATCTTGACTGCACCAGAATAGAGTCCTAATGTATCAATTACCTGTCCTCAAACATGTTGCTGATGTATGTTCCAACAATTGCGTTGACAGGAAGAACTGTTAATCCAAGTACAGCCAGGAAAATTGCCACTGAACTAGTACTCCAATTAAAGTAATATGTGGTAATGACACTTGATTCAGAAAGTAAAATTTCCATTGCATATTTGAGCATGAAATATATCAACAATTGGACCTACAGAGAGCAACAGATAAAGGTAAGATTTCTGGACTTAAAAAGAAAGAAACATGCAAATGCTAGAAACATTGTAAACACAGTTCTAGATCGCCAGTCACAAATGTTCATTTTGAATAAAAAGTTTCCTTCATTTTGTTCTTTGTTTCCTTTTAGCAAGATCTGCACCACTTACATCCATCCAAGTCCGGTGTTGACAATTACAAATGTGTGGTTATTACTCCTAGAAATCATGTAAAAGAAATTTGAATCTTTTGTCTTTTCGACAAAAACTATTTCATATAAAACTAAAATTAGGCTTTATCTTGTATGAATAACAACCTATTACATAGACTTATTTCTGAGACATACACGGTATATTCAAGTGAATAAACATGTATAGTTGTTTCCTCATGTCAAGATTTTGGACTATTATCATATTCAACACCCTGTGCCCGCATTGGAGTACAACATTAATGTCTATGCATACAAACCATAGGCATTTGAGACGTGTAAACTGATTCCAATAGACCAATTAATTCCATATTCTTAAGATTCTAGATCAATGGATATAAGGTTCTGAAATGCTTGTGAATTTGAACCATCAGATAGTAGCAGGATGTATTACAATATGTACTAGGAATCCTTTTCATTGCCTAAAGGAATTTTTAATATAAAATGCAGACCAGGAATCACGTTTCACAGTTAAATCCAAGTCATATGTGATGTCCATTATGACAATTGAAAAGGTTAAAGTTCATGCTATTATAAGAAGTTCTTCAAAATGTGTACCAAATTACTACACAAAGATGTCATCATTGATGTTTACAGAACCACAGCAAATATACTTAATTTATAATGTTCACTGTGTTCCATACTCCTGCATGCAGACAAGGTTCCGATTCACAACTGGAAAGTAAACAATAACTAAATGCTTAAAAGAAATAAGGCCGACTGTTAGATAATTAGTAACAACAAACCTTCACAGAAGGTGTAAGCAATCTATATGCTGAACCAATTGAATTTGCAGGTAAATGAGAATCTTCAGAAGCTTCTTCACTATCATCACATTCTTCGTCACCGTCTTCAGTTTTTCTCTCTTCTGAGTTTAAAAGCAGCGGTTGTACCAGACCACCTTCAAGTCGCTCATGATCAACATGTCCTAATTGTAAAAGAACAGTCATTTTGAGAAATAAGACAAAGCACAATTGGAATATCAAATATCTAAAAATTTCTTATGAATGATTAAATAAATCAAGAGATCTATGGGCTGAAACCTATTCCTTTGGGAATTAGTATAACTCAATGGCAAAAGTCGTTGAGTAAACTAATTCATATGGTCATTGTGAGTCAAATAGCATCCAAAATTATATGTAAACATGAAAATACTTACGCAAATACATAGGAAAAGCAAAGTCCTTATGCTTTATCCAAAATTATCTGCACCTGAATCCCTGCTCCTTTCAGTTCTATTAATTGTCTATTAAAGATCACATCCTATAACAGGCTGCCAATTGTTATCTTTTTTTTTAACTTCCTTGACACATTCATATAGGCCACACGATCTGAGATCCTTGCTATCCTGTCAACTACTATTGTTCCACCCAATTGAACTGAAGCACTCATTAGCTCCTAGCACTCAGATGAATCAAGCTACTTTTTCAAACACTATTAGCAAGGAGAAGTAAAGATTCTACAAATAGATCTTGAGTGATCCTTAGATCCCTTTGTTTGACCATAAAACTAATCTGCGCCTCTATGTAAAATCCCAGTTCCATAATAGCATGAATTTAGATGTTTCTCAAATTGATGCTATAAAAAAAAGTTTCCATTTTAAATAAGCAATGTATTTGCATGTATGAACGTTAAATACAGCATAAGAATAAAGATTAGCCTACCAACACCAGTTTCCTGTGGGTTTTGGATCTCATCAGTATCACGAACTGGCTCCTTAAAAGAAAACCCCAACCAAATCAAATAAAAAAACCAGGCCACTGTCATCACCCAGCCAGGTAATGTGTCTTGGTTAATTGTGAGACCATAGATCTTGAAATTGGTCTGCAGCAAACCAGCAAGGGCAGGACCGCAAGCCATTCCAAGTGCACTGGCACTAACAAAACCTGCAGATGCTTGCATGCGAATTTTTTGCGGCACACAATCACTAATGTACCGGCGGTTAACAGCCCTTGCGGAACCCAGTCTGAATCATGGTAAAGTTCCAGATAAGAAAACTTTAATGCAACTAAGCATGAAAGAAAGAATAACATTTCAAATAAGTCTGCAAAATCCTTTTATTACCATCATTGAAATATACGATAAAGAAGACAAAACCCAGATAGTCATGCATCTAACCTAGTAGAGAAACTTGCAAGACATAAATACTGTTTGAAACAACACTTTATATGTTGGAGCCTATGTTACCTGGGTACTCCTAACTGAAGTCGTACTTGTACCCGACAAGCATCAACACCCGTATACATACCCAAACTCCGTGGACACTCCTTGTATATATGAATACATTTATTCCAGCATGTGCTCACTTATGCGATGTATGTTTCATGTAAAACACTTCTCATACACTTCTTGGACGCATATCCTACACTTCATATCCACTTCCTAAAACTTCTTGAACACATGTCGGAATTTGACCTATTAAAGGGTCATTTGGGTGACTAGTTCAAAAATTATTGGGTTTTCAATTTATAATCCACATAATATAAAAAATAAAATATTAAAGGAATTTTAATTCTCAAAACATGTGAACGAAAAACAATGTTGATCCCATGTCAATTATTAATTTCAATATATAATATACGTACGTGTATATAAATATCTATATAGCCGTGTCCCTATATCCTACCTTTTACAAATTTGTAATGTCCTGTACCCATACATACCACCACCCGTACCCGTACTCATTTCCATGCAACTTAGGCTGGAGTAGTTAAGGTATATGCATTTGGAATTCTATACAAAATGATACATCTTAAAAATACACAACTTGTCACATATAATAATATAATACACTAGTCTAGTCAATGGAAGATATAGGACATGCTGTAACGAGTGCAACATATGCATGTGTCATGTGGGACAACAATAAATGTTTAATGAATATGCAAGTGTGTTCATTTTTTCCTTAAGGCAAATAAAACCAACACTTACCCACACAGTAGACGACCAATAATCAGAACTGCTAAAGATTCAACGTCATAAGCCAATGCATACAACAGATTTCCCATAATAAGCACAATACTGCTGAACACGAGAGGTCTGTAGTATGATCTATTTGACCATGCACTGAAATAAACTGAAGAGAAGACTTGAGCAACAGCCATTGATCCTATTACAACACCACAAACTGTCGCAGCGGCACCAAGACTCATCGAGTAATCATCTGCAGTAGGGACAATTATGTATGTGTTGACCATATAAAGGAAAGTATTCACCAGGTTCAGCATAAGAGACATAAAATGATATTTCTTGTCAACTTGTTCTTCCACAACACCAGTTATGTCTTCTTGGACAATAAGTGCATGCTGTCCCAAAAAGTGAAGGAAATTTGTTGAGCGTGTAAGCTTATCTACAGATGCCTTTATTAGATCAATGACAGGGTCCTGCATAATAAGCAAAAAGATTATTGTGAGTGGAGATAGTGATTTAAATTCATAACAAATTATGCCAAACATTCTAATCTTGATCAATCAAAAACCTATGAAGAACGGAAAAAAAATAAACCTGAGGAACAGCCGACGGCTGATCGTAAATAGATAAGTAGCTTCCTTGACGATGTTGAAAATCTGCAAGGTTTCTAGATAAGGCTCCTACAACAGCTCCAATTCCCTGCACACCAAAAAATTAGTGAATGGGGAGCAATTTATAAAGCAATCCTTTATTTCAATATTTCAAGAAACAATAGTACAAATCAATGAAAAAATGACACTGATTGGGCGAAAATGAAAAAGAAAATGATTATATCAGAGTCACTATAAAACTCAATCTGAACTGTGGGTTAAATTATTACCACATGCTTGAAGACCTGTTGCAGTTGGGAGTATGGATGATTAGCTCGAGATGTTAAATAATAATCCATGAATCTATAGCCAAAACGTTTATCAAACTTCTTCAATATCTTACGAATGCCTGTAGCATTCAAATCAACGAATCTAAGAAGCTTCAAAAGATCATAACCCACTGCCCTATACTGTTCTCGAAGTTCAGATATCTTAGATATATCTGGATTCTCCAAAAGAATGGAACGCTGCTCCCCCAGTTCTTGAATCCTGCTGGCAAGAATCCCTTGTTGTTCCAATAGAAAAAGTACAGTTTTTTCTATCTGAATAAAATAAACATAAAAAATTAGCTAATAAACCCATATTACGTTATCAACTCCAAAGAAAAAATGCAACAAAATTTATCTTAAAAAAACACAAGAGACTAGACGTCAAACATTATACAACCAACATAAAACTCAAGTAAGATGGGAATTGATTACGTGACAGCATAGTTAAATAGCAATTCTTTTGCACTTATTATTGCGTGAATTCTTTTTGCATAAGGTGTGGGACGTATAGGCATTTGTTCATTGCATTAGAGATAAACTCAACATCAAAGTAGAGAAATAACAAAAACCAATCGCAAAGCATAATCTCTCCACCTTAACCACAAACATAAATAGCTGGGAACTCTTTAAGAAGTGACTTGTATTCAATCTCCAACAATCTTATACCTATAGCCGAAAGGTAGAGAATCTGATAATCCAAGAACTATGTTTGTGTACCCTAGAATACAAACAGTTTTTTTATGTTGTTGATATAACACAAATGAATTCGTGCAAGAAAATGCATTATTTCATTCTACAGTATGGATGCAACACATGCATACTTGAGATAACAAGTCCATATTTGCTTGAGTATCAATATATATTTGCAACAACAAAAAAGTGTACCTGATCATCTAACATCCTTGAGAATTCCTTAAGGATCTCGCGACGAGTCCTTCCTCCACTCTGAATCTGTTGTGAATATTGCCTAACCTTCTTCTTCATTAACTTGTAGTCAATATAGAATCTGGAAACAGCAAGAGAGAATTTTAAAATGGATAGGACAACTCCATATGTAACTAAAACTAAATTTAAGATGATTAAAGCATACTATCAGGGAACATAAAAGGGGGAATAAGCATACCCTTTCCATTCTTCAACTTGATTTGCTGTTAGCTTCTTCCCGAAATTAACCATCTTGAAGTTGAATGTGTAATATAATTCCCTGTGAAAAGGAGATCCATAAGATAAGAGAGACCATCTAGAACTATGATTGAAAACGCTAAAGCACAAGTAAAACTAGGATAAAAGCTAAGTTTTCAGTTAACAAAAGCAACTAATATTAAGAGGATATACTTCCTCCGTCTTCACTTACAAATACAGACCAACATGTAAAAACAGCAATAATGAATTGAAAAATTCCTCAAGGACCCAAAATATGGGACCAATAGAGGGGACAAGTGAAGTGTCCCCCTCCTATTAGATAATGAGTTGGTCATCATTAATGATAGCCAACTCATTATCCAATAGGAGGGGAACACCTCACTTGTCCCCTCTATTGGTCCCATATTATGAATTTTATATCAAATCTCTTAGGTCCCAATAGAATAAATTGAAAAATGATATAACAACAAGTTACGATACCTTCAGCTCCAGATATTGGAACCAGGAACGGGTCAGAATCATGAAGATGGCCAAAAACAAATTAAAGAAATGAAGTGTAATCAAGCAAGCATCACTTACGAAACTGGAGCCAAGGTTTCAATTACTGAATGAATGCTACAGAGGCAATGGTATGAGCTGAGTAAAAGCAGAATGAGAACTGTAAAACACAACTGATAGAAAAATGACGCAAATATAGTGGTAACTTTTAGTTCCTACTGTGTCATCGCTAATGAAATTGACCCCAAAAATATTTTGAACACCCATGGGAGGAAACCTCTACATTCTATAATCGATGAACTTATGCCATTGTGATATAAGATCCGCAGCAAATGAAAGCTAACAGCTCGTCATTGCTTGTTCTAATGATTTATATATTTTCCATCTCACAACTCCTTAGCTTTTCTAGAATTCCTCAAAGTAAGTGGATCTCTGGGAGTACATCTTTGCTTCTAGAAATCAAATAAACCTTTAATAGAATCCAGTAACTACTTCTAAATTGTTTATTTTTTCCAACAGATTTTTTTTAAAAAAAAATGGTTACATAAATAGAGTAGTCAATAATTTGCCCATCTTTAATAGCTCAATTCTCGCCATTAATGCTAACTTCCAGCTACTCTTAACCAATTTCATTTTCGGCCATTAATCAATCAAACAAACGAATAATAATAATAATATCTGAAGTCGATCTAGAGACCATCAAAATTTTCAACTGGAAAAAAAAATATCAATTACAAATTAGAATACAGACGTAGATCTGAGTAAACATTCGATTACCTGAAAGAGAAATTTAGATGACCATCAACAAACAGAGAGAGAGAGAGAGACGCGAATCGAAACAAAATAAGGATAAACAACGAGAATAATGATTAGTTTCAAATTAAATACCTCCAGAGAGAGAGAGAGAGAGAGTAGCGAAGGGATGAGAGAGGACTCGTCACGGAAGTGACGTGGCAAGAGAGAGATCTCTGGAATGAGTTTTTTGGTGTATCAGGGAACGAGGAAACCTATTGATTGTGACCTCTGGGAAATTTATAGATCGTAGAGATAAAGATTTAGAGGGTTAATTTTAATTTATCTCAACTCCGTACAAAATTGGGGCGAGCGCAAATGATAAGACATACAAAGAGCTCAATCTCGCTACTTGTTCCTTTCTGTTTTATTTATTGGAAAATGTATAATATGTGTTTGGATAGCGATTGAAAGTAGATTGAAAGTAAATTGTGTGAAGGTCCCAAAATCAATATCTTCATGTGCTGCAGTCCTTTTATTTTTTCCCCATGGAACGCTGCTACATGGACCCAAAATATAGGACCATTGGAGGGGACAAGTGATGTGTCCCACTTCTATTGCATAATGAGCTGGTCATGCCATCTCATTATGTAATAGAATGGGACATGGTCCCATATTTTGGGTCATTAAGGTATTTTTCTCCCTTATGTGGTACAGTCCTAAGAAACGTGACATTTTGTGTTGTAGCCCTCTTTTAACAATTATTACCAGCCAACTAAGTATAGAGAAAGAATAAAAAGTACAAAATCCCAAACTGTCATTATCTCTTTCATGTTAGGTCTATTTAGAACTAACATGAACTCTTATTAGAACTACCATGAACTCCAATTAGAACTAACGCGAACTTTTATTAGAACTAATTTAATTCCTTTTAAGTCTAATTCAAATCATGTTATGTCTAATTCAACTTATTTTAAGTCTAATTTAATTAGACTTAACATAAAATTAGACTTAAAATTTTGAATTAGACTTAACATGATTTAAATTAGACTTAAAAGGAATTTAACATGATTGAAATTAGACTTAAAACTTCGTGTTAGGTCTAATAAAAGTTCGTGTTAAATCTAATTTCATGTTAGGTCTAATAAAAATTCGTGTTAAGTCTAATTTCAAGTTAGGTCTAATAAAAGCTCGTGTTAGTTCTAATAAAAGTTCGTGTTAAGTCTAATTTTATGTTAGATCTAATAAAAGTTTGTGTTAGGTCTAATTTCATGTTAGGTCTAATAAAAGTTTGTGTTATGTCTAATTGGAGTTTATGTTAGTTATATTTCGTGTCCGTGTTAGTTCTAACTCATGTTAGTTCTAACTCAGTTCGTGTTAGTTCTAATTCATGAATTAGAACTAACACGAACCGAGTTAGAACTAACATGAATTTTCCTTCTTTTTTTCGCGTGTTCTCTTGTTCCCTGATGTTTTTTTTCGTGCACCTGAGGTTTCCCTCTGCTCTCTTTTGATTTTTGAATCTTTTTTATCTTTTTCTCCTCGGCTTATTCTTCTTTGTCCTTTTCTTCATTTCGTCCTTTTTCTTTTCGTCCACTTTTTCTTTTAGGGTCTGTTTAGTTGATTTCCTAAAAACCAAGAAATGAAAATGAAAAGGTGGAAATCTCAAAAAGTGCAATTTCATCCATTTCTATCCCTAAAACTCACTCACAACATCTAATAAAATATTATTTTCATCCAACAACTCATCCACAATATCTAATAAAATATTATTATTTTCATCCACAACAAATACTCAACTCAACTCATCTCATCTCATCATTTCAAATCACTCACATCATCCTATAAGATTGTGACAACTCATCTCATCTCATTAACATTTCATTTCCACCTATTTCCTCCCAAAAAGCTAAAAAAACGATTTTTTAAGTGTTGGTCACATCATTCAATAATATAATGAGAACTCATCTCATCTCATCTATTTTCTTATTTTTAAGAATGAACCAAACAAAAGAAAACAACCTGTTATAGGAAATATGTTTCTTATAATTCATTTCCTTATTTTTTTCGCCAACAAAACAACATCAAAACAAGTTTTCTTAAAAAATCACTCACTCATCCAATAATAATGTGACAACTAACATCATCTCATCTCTAATTCTTTGATTTCCTTCTTTTTTTAGCCAACCAAACATTCCCAAAACAATTTTTCTTAGAAATAGTTTTACATTTCTTTGATTTCCCTCTTTTTTTAGGCAAACAAATAGCCCCTTATGGGATTTTTTTTTCTTTCTTTCTTTGTTGTGTGTGTTTGAGGATGCCAATGCCTTCTCCCTAATTTTTATTTATTTATTTTTCTCTTTTTTCTTTGGTCTTGTTCTCAGTTTTTCGTCTTCTTCTGCCCTTTTTTTGTTTAAATTTTCTTTAGGTCCTCATGCCTCTTAACACAAAATTTTAGGTCTAATTGGTGTTTATGTTAGTTCTATTTCGTGTTCGTGTTAGTTCTAACTTAGATCGTGTTAGTTCTAATTCAGTTCGTATTAGTTTTAATTCATGAATTAAAACTAACACGAACAGAGTTAGAACTAACACGAATACGAAATAGAACTAATATAAATTAGAACTAACACGAATTGAGTTAGAACTAACACAAACACGAAATAGAACTAACATGAACACCAATTAGACGTAACATGAGTTAGAACTAACACGAACACGAAAAAAAAACTAACATGAACTCTAATTAGATCTAACACGAACTTTTATTAGACCTAACATAAAATTAGACTTAACACGAACTTTTATTACACCTAACACGAACTTTTATTAGGCCTAACACGAAATTTTAGGTCTAATTGATATTCATGTTAGTTCTATTTCGTGTTCGAGTTAGTTCTATTTTTCGTGTTCGTGTTAGTTCTAACTCAGTTCGTGTTAGTTCTAAATAGACCTAACATGAAAGAGATAAGGGCATTTTAGGATTTTATACTTTTTATTCTCTTTCTATGCTTAGTTGGCTGGTAATAATTGCTAAAATAGAATTGCAGCACAAGATGTCACATTTTTTGGGGCTGAACCGCATGGGGAAAAAATAAAGGGGCTGCAGCATATGAAGATATTGCTTTTGGGGCATTGACACAATTTTCCCTTTTTTTTAAGAAAGGTTTGTTTTGGATTGAGGTATGAATTAGATAATTAGATTTTATACTTGATAGGTCACGTATCTTCATCCGTACTTAAATTATATACATCGGTTTCCATATACATGCAGTTGACGTATTCTTTTGATTTTTTATTCAGTTTTGAAAGCTGATTACTATAGTATTCACTCCTCAAATTATCTCTATTTTTTAATTATTATATAATATTTGTTTTGACTCAATATTCCTTATGTTCCTAGTTCGAATCTTATCTACCTAAGAGCAACTCCAATGGTACTCCATTCCTCTATAAATGGAGTATCATTGGCTCCAATGGTGCAACTGTAGCATCCTCTATATTAAGAAGGTGCTACAGTAACCCTCTATATTTGAAGGGTTTGGGATAATATAGAGGGATCCCTCTATAATACTATTCATAGATTTTAATTCCAATTTTTTCTTCCCATCTCATTATAACTTTTTATAAATACCAATTGTATCCTTGAATATAATTAAACTAATTATTTAACTTAATATAATTTTAATTTTACTCATCTATTTTAAATAAAAATTATATCATTGAAATTGTCTTGCCGAAACCTTCAAAATGAGCCTAATATTTAAACTTTAAATATTAATTTCAAATTTATCATTATGAAATGTTGAAGTACAGAGAATTTAAAATACATCAAGCTTAAAAAAATTACATCATTCCATTACCATGTCTTTGTCATAAATGTTCAATGAGTGCATTCCGAAGTTCAAAGTGAGCCGACCTCCCGATCTAAAAAAAATACATCATTCCATTACCATGTCTTTGCCATTAAAATAAACTAATTTAAAAACGACTCTAAAAATATTCAATATTAATCTCATTTAAAATGTTTCGGCGAGACGGTTCTAAAGGTATAATTTTTGTACAAAAAATGATAAGTTTTAATTATTTTATTTACATCATTAGTTTGTTAATGATAGATTAATTCATATAAATATAAAGTATACCATTGGAGCACAACTTTTACAAACCCTCTATATTTGAGAAATCTGTAAGAATATTCTCTTCAAACCCTCTAAATATAGAGTATACCATTGGAGATGCTCTAATCTAGAGTGTGGGAACACAAGGCGAGACTCACAGGGTCGACGCCGGGCAAAAATCCGGGCCGGGCAGCCCGGGCCCGCCCGGGGCCAACGGTCACCAACTGCAGGCTGACGTTGCCGAAAAAAAGCCGGCCGGGTATGGCCCGGCCGGCGCGACACAGTCCCAGAGTGAACTGAGTTGGTCGACCGTTGCGAAAAAAGCCGGGCCGGGCCGGGCTGAGCCCCGGCCCGACCCGGCCTAGCCCGGCCCGACGCGGCCACAAACGGTCACCAGAGTGCACGTTGTGTGGCGCAAAACAAGGCTTTCTTCGCGTTTTTGCGGGCCGGGCAGCCGGCAGCCCGACCCATAACGGCCTCAACGGTTCTTTTTGACCGTTTTGTCCCAAAAAACGGTCAAAAAACGACTATTTTGTGAGGTTATTTTGGTCATTTGCTTAGGGGGCTGGTTCTATAAATAGATGGGGGTTTTTATTTGTTTTCTTCACACCAAAACTCATCTACTTCTCTCTTATACTCTCTCTTATACTCTCTCTTATACTCTTATACTCTCTTATACTTTCTAATCCTTTCATTAAATGGCTTCCGGATCTGATTATGAAGAGCAAAACCTATCTCCCGATCTTGAAATGAGTCCTCCTACTGGGTCTACTCCTACCGAAGTTAATCCGGAATCCGGTGGCGACGAATCTACACCAAGAGCTCCTAAAAGGCCAAGATCCGATGTGTGGAATTTTTACGAGAAGATCGACGTCACCAAGGATGAACACAGTGGGATCCTCACCCAGAAGGCTAAGTGTGCGTTGTGCGGTAAGATTTTTCAAGCTCATCATAAAAGCGTCACCAACCACCTCAAACGCCATTTAGATAAACACAACAAAGGCCAGACTCCTCAAGGTGATATCCGACAATCTATGATTTCTCAATCATCCTCTTCTGGTAATCTTGGTAGTTGGAACTATGACGCTGTCAGAGCCAGGAAATACGTAATCAGGTTTATCATTCTTAAAAACCTTCCTTTTAAATTAGTAGAAGATGATGAATT